GAGCTTGGCATTCATTAAGGTCCATCTGTCTGCTTTAGACCAAAAACATTATCTACTCTATCATTCCTCTCAAAAGTGGACGATGGCAGTGAGAAGAAAGACGAAGGAGGGTGTTTGAGAGCAATGGACAAGAAGCAGGGAAGCTTAAGGAAATACAGCTCAGCTAATATATTCTTTATAATCACATTAAAATGATGGAATAAATTTATCATCTTACTGTAAAATACCTGCACCCAAACCCCTTTAGAAAAGGTTAAAAATATATCTTAAGAAAGTTGTGACAGGAAAATGGATTGAAATGCGTGCAGAGTTGGGGGGTGGGCACAAATGAGAGCAGTGTGCTGGGCTCAGGAGGCTGGACTGGGTTTCCACAAATGGAGATTAGTGCTCCAGGCCACTGTCTGGCCGGGCTGCTAGCATGCTCACTTTGTTCTCGGCAATGACAGTTTAAATCGGGGGGGCAGTGCACATGGTCCTCCACGTTCCCAGTGCCTATGTGCTTTCTACGAGCTGATTTTCTTCTAGATCCCTATAATGCCCTGTTCTTCTGTACTGATTTGTGCTGAAACACTGAAATGGTCATTTTCCGTTTTAAAAAATGGACTAGGGGTCACATCTACAAGACAAGAAAAGAACAAACTGACACTTAACTTCAGTATAAACTGTTTAAGCAGCTGCCTTCTCTTTCTATTACAACTAGGTCTCTGGGAAAACAGTATGCTGTAGTGAGGGCTTGTTAAGCATCTGTGATAAACTCTCATATAGCCATGGTTACTGCTGTTAGGGGTACCGCAGTTTTACCATGCTATTCCTATGGATGGAGGTTATTTAAAAGAAATGCCAGAGAAACTTTTGTGACCATACTTTCACTGTGTGGATCATAGACTTGCATTTGTGCACTGCTGGTCAGCTGGCCTAAAAAACTAACAGCAAAATAAGACTCAAAAGACAAATTCAGCTGATTTGAAATCGTAATGACCATGAATAATACAGTTTAATGAGTAGAAACTTAAGGAAACTAAACAGAATTCCTCTAAAAATGTTTTAGGCTACCTAAGCAGATAGCCTGACTAATAAACTGTAAGCGACTCAACAAAAACTACACTAAATCTTTTCCCTCTGGATTCAGGGCAGGAGGTGGGAAACAAAAGGATCTTAAAGAAATGAACATCTCTGTTGGATAATTTCTCCTATCCCATGAATGAAGCTGTGGTAAAACTGCAGAGCTCCTTCAGTGATGCTGCACCCTAAATGCACCATGGAGCGTTATCACAGATCCTTCCTCCCAGCAGCTGTAAGACTATAACCACCCCTGTTCCCAACAACCTCAATAAGCTGCTATATTCATGCTGATTTTGCACATTTTGAACATGCTGTTGTCATTTTGTGCATCTCTGATGTTGCTGCCATTTTTAAATATCTATTACTGTAAAAATGTCCATCGCTGGATATTGATTATTTATTCTCCAGGTGCACAGTATTTATATTGCTAAAACGCTTGCAATATAACAGTACAACATTCTTATTTGTTTATTTTTATTACTCTTCACTATTATGTTATTCTTATTCACTTTTCTAAGGTCTAAATTTGTGTGACCATTTTGTATGGTCTAACCATTTTGCATTCTGCTGTAAACACCGGAATTTCCCTATTGTGGGGCAATAAAGGCATTTTTTATTCCATTTCTATTCTACTGTAAGGTTTTACCTCATTAAAATTAGCCCCCTTCACAACATGTGTTTTTTTTTTCTCCATCTAGGAAATAGAAAGGAAAAATAATTGCCGCTTTGTGAGCTGTCCCTACAGTGTTTCCGTCCATACTGAGGGCAGCCAGGCCCTCCGATGAGGGTCATAGTTGAGGTCCTGAAGCCAAATGCTAGCTTTAAATTTTATAAGTCATCAGTGTTTGTGGCAATCCCCACTGTTGACAAGCAAATATTTATCATTCAGCAGAAGAAGTTCAGTGTTTGCCATCTGGGTATTGTTTGGCATGGGTAACAACTTAGCAGAAGATCACTTCCAGCATATGGAGGTAATTCAGTTAGAGTTGGACTTAAGCAGCTGCATGTTTACCCCGGAGCTTTTCATAGAATAGTTCACCCTCTTTAATACTTGGCAAATGTTATTCTGTCGATCATGGGCCACAGACTATCAGACTACAGGCCAAAAAAAAATAAATTACTCTCCAGCACTTCAAGTGGCAGGCAAGCAAAGTGGAACGGGCTGCTCGGGATTTATGCATACACTGCTGCTTTCTGAGTGGAGGTTAGCTAAAGTGCAGCGAGGCTCCGCTGCTGGCTCGGTTTGAGGGCCTTAACGAGAGACTCAAGCGTTGAGTCGGAGCGTTTAGGTAGTGTGTATAGACACACTAGTAAATCCTTTTCTCTTTTTTTGGGGAGGAGAATGTGTATTTGTATCTGTGTGTGTGCGCACTGGGCTGGGATCAGTTGAATAAATCCACACTTGAAAGAGGAGCTCAATCAAGCTCTTGCACCCATCTCACTTTCTCTGCTTCTCTCACCTCAATGATGCTTCAATGCTCACAGTTCATTTAGAGTTCAACAGTTCAGGGAACCAAAGGGCAAAGGAGCAAAACTAGGGGCAAAACTGAGCAGGTCTGTGTATTCAGAGCTTCACTTCAATCATTTTATTGGGTTTTTCTGTCAACATAAAGGAGGATATAAGAAACAAACCCTCATAAAAAAGCTTTATATATTTTTTTTTAATTGACAAAAGATAATTAGGTAAAATTTTCCTGTTAATGTAATTTTCTGATTGAAGTCTAATGGAACATCAATATCTAGATCTGGTTTCTGATTAGGACTTTGGTTGCTTTTTACATTTGCCTGAACTATATGTGGTGTGAGAAAAACAAAGCTTATCTTCATTCTATTAGCAGACATTCAAATCCTGTGAGTGACAGGAACTTCTTTTTTACTAAGAAATTAGGCCCCACAGCATGATACTGCCAACAACAAGCCTCACTGAGAAGCCATGAAATGTATTTTTCCCCGCAATAATAATAAACTTTTAGATTCACTGAACACAAAACTGTATCAAACTGTATGACTGCACTATTTTAGGAGTTTTATACTCGAAGCTGAATTGTTGAATCCACTTATACTTAAAAAGGTGTTAATATTTTTAACTATTCCCTTTGACTAGAATCCAAACCATTAGTAGGCAAACTGATGAGCATGCTTTAAAAAAACCCCAAGAACAATGGTTCTAAAAGTAGAAAATTAGAAAAAGGATTTCATTAGTGTCTGGTTTCTTGCAAAAGGCCTTGAAGCGAAACTCCTAACATCGAAGAAATAAAAAAAAAAGCTTCTTTTTAACCCACCCAGTGGTTCAGGTAATGACTCACAACCATCTTTGATGTACTCGTTAGGACACAAAATGCATTCACAGTAGATTCCTCAGAGTGAAGATGCCATTTTCTATGGTGCCTTTTTAAGGAGTTTTATATTCTGAGGACTGACAGCGATGTAAAAGCTGCACCGTAAAAGCATTAAAAAATGTGCATGGATGGTACACTTAAGATATAGTTCTGTCCCCCAAATTATTCGGCTCAAAAATTTATGTTCACATTAAACATTAGGTCTAAAAGTCTAAATAGCATTAAATAAAGGCACTATGCACAGAGTGATGCAAGACAATTATAACTTAAGAGTAAATAAAAACAAATTAAGTTTCTTTAAATGCTGTTATACAACAGGATTTACAAAAAGAAAGTCCTGAAATGTTATATTTCTATTATGGCCGACACAATCATGGAGAAGAATGTTTGGTCACTGAAACCTCCAGGAGGGAAGTTTCCAGGGATATTAATGGGAAGTTGAGTGGAAGAAAAAAATACAGAAACAACTGCAGTAACGCGGCAAAAAAAACAAACAACAGCCAACAGAGTTTCAAAGCAGAGTCCATTACATTTGGGTAAATCTATGAACTCTGTGTTGGAATAGCTGAAGTCTGTGAGTTAATTTTATTACAATTTAACAGTTTGTTTTTAAGCCGGGTGTATTCCAGCTCTTTGAGTGTTGTATTTTTCCTTTTTACACTTCTGTCTGCACAGCATATCACCGCTTGGGGATAATAAATTCTACTTAAACTTGAACTTGCATCATCTCAATGAACAAAGAAAGACAATACTTTTTGAATTGATTTACTGAAATGAATAAACTTTGGAAGGACAATTGAACTAAGATTAACAGATGATCTGAACAAGGAGCAGTTTAAGGGCCTCTTTTAAAAGGCTAAACTACATGAATGGGCACTGATATAGTATTTCAGTGCCAAATCTAAGAAAAACTGGGAAGCCTGAGCAAATGAGATCATCTACAGGTCAAAAAAAAAACACGAGCATAATTTGTTTCTGTTTCATCAAGCTAAAATATTCCAAATGTGGATGAAATTAAGTAATTTATTTTGCTTGAATATGAAAATATTATTAAAGGCAGTGATGTTAAAATGTTCCCAGTGAAGTGGAGCAGCATATCTCTTTTAACCTTGCATGCCTGGCCAAGTCCCACCGAGCTCTGTTCGCCACCTGGTGGCAAACTGGAGCCCTCAGCTGCTCAGTCCACCTGTTCCCAACAGCTAAAGCACAAACAAAAACTGCATGCCTGCAAAACTACTAGAAGCCATCACCAGGAGCACAGCGTTGAGGAAGTCTGGCCGGAGGGGAGGCGGAGATGAAATCTGGCCGGCACCGGAGGTGTGTACAGCTACCCATGTTTTTCCACTCAACTGGAGGTACTGCCAACCTGTTCCCCTCCTCTATATATGGCAGTAAACAGGATACTAACAGTGGGGCGGATTATACTGCCATATGCAGTGGCATTATTCTGTTATGAAAATATGGGAAACTTTCCCTGCACATATTAAAGTCCTTCATCTTCCTGTGACACCCAGATGATGGAGGACAGCAGAGCAAAGGCAGTGGGGACTGCACCAACAGAGTAAAGCATGTAGGACTTTCTGCATAAAAAGTACTCACAGCAGGTACAAGGAGCTTCTTGACTTCCTCTACCGCTCTTCTCATCTTGATCTCAGCTCTGTTCTGTGAGTCTTCAACTGTGATTAGGACGTGAAGGTCTTCATTTAGGTGTTCCCAGTTTGGCTTCCCTCTGTTCTGCTCCTCCTGGACAGAAACACAGCGAGAGAGAGACGATGAGTGAATGTGACAGTGCGGGGGTGCAGGAGCACCAGTGCAGTAACGCTGCATTATCAGACAGGGGAGAAAAGAGAAAGGGGTACACGTGGAGGATGAAGGGAGCGGCCTGTTAGTCAGCTATTTAACTGTAACTTTGAAAGGACACCCTTCTCTAATAGATCCCATGCTTCACAGAGACAAAGATGACAGCAGGCCCTGCAGCAATTAATATCAGCTAGAGATGAATGGATGCAGGGATCAGAGAGATGTATCTGGATTCTAACCTACATTAATGTTACTTGTGGGAAAGGATTGATGACACCTGCGGTTTAAAGTTCTGTGAGGCTTATTATCCAAATATTAAAGTTACCTAAAGTCCAAAGTACTTTGGCATGTTATAACAAAAATATAGGAGAACAAAACCCTGGAAAATGGTAGGGAAAGCCATTAGTCATTTTATCAGCAGCTCAACTTTCCTGAGTCAGATGGTAGCAGTCACTGTTGCAGTCTGCGGTTTACCATCAGACCACACGTGCAGCTACACACCTCTGCTAATTTTAACCTGCATTTCCTTCATGCAGCTACGGACTGTCTGATCATTTTTTTTTGCTTTTAGAGGTTAAAATCATATTGCGTTTCTACAGGTTTTTCTGTTTTGTTGGTCTGTTCCATGTCTTTCGCTCTTGTGCAACTAAAGGAGCTGCTGGAGTCTGACTCCCTGTTCTAACATTCCCCAGACCCTCGCTGTTAACCCACCTCAACATCAAAAAACATCAATAACAAAACCTCTGCAATATCGGAAACATTCGGATCGAATTTCAACGGTTTCTCCTGGGGTTAATAAAGGCCCCATCTCTTCTCATGTAACCTGTTGGAATTGCAGCAGCCAATCTATGAATCAGCTTAAATTACAGCTGAATAAGCACAAACTTTTATTAAAAGGAAAAGTGAATATGTAGGGATGAAGGACTCCCCAGTTATGTGTATCAAGATAAACCAGGACTTATAAAGAAAAGTACAACAAAAAAACGTAAAATCTGTTTTAGAGGGAAACCAGAGAAAGGGACCAAGTATTTTTCTTTTTCAGCTGTATGAAACAAATACAGTACAGACCCCTCCCCCAACTGTTGCTGCACACAGACCACTAACTGGCATAAAAAAGGCTACTGGGTTACTTTGCTTATATCTGGTGATGGGAAATATTCTTGTCATAAACAAACGACAGAGGTGTAGAATGGAGCGACATAATTTATCTCGCATACAATTTATCCTCAAGGCAACATCAGTTCGTGTGATAGACACTTTAAAAGAACATTGAGAGTGCACTTTGTGTGCCAATGTAATATTAACCATGTTGAATGGCCTCTCACTGCTGTGGATACCCCAACATGACAAGGATGACAGACTCCAAAGGGAGAGATGGAAGCACAGATGGGACAGAGAAAGGATAAAAATGTTCATTTATTACATCACATACCATATTTCAGAATAAGAACAATGTCAAGTGACGTTTCCTTTGAAGTACTGAGAGAAGGGAGAGCTCACTCAAAGGTAATCATGGTTTAAAAGTACAGCTGATGATGTATGTGCAGACAAAGTTGAAAGGATAAGCTAAGGAATTAACTGGCTACTAAAATCATCTTTTTATACCTCTTTTTTTTTTTTTACAGATATCAAAAGAACAATGTTTAATATCCTGTGCAATAAGCAATTATTTCAATATAAATATTGGAAATTATACCTTCAGCATCATTAACAGTTTTCAACATTTATTTTCATTTATACATTTTACAAATGATTATAGTGTCGGGATCCCATACTGAGCAATGCCCATTGGGGATAAATGTTTCATATTTGTAAAGTTTAATATAAAACAACACCTAATATCAAATCACAGCTACTTCCTCAGAGTAGAAAATCCAGAGAGCGGATGATGACAGAGGTATACGGTGTGACATTGCTGAATATCATCATGTTTAAAAGCCCATCAAAAATCCAAAGAGGGGAGGAGCTGAGCTGTAGATTAACTTCAAACCAAGTTCAAATGTTAATTATTGATCCGACAAGAACAAAAGTTTAGTCAAATATTCATTTTCCAGATAAACAGTCAACTGATTTTCTGTCCCAAAGGGAATCCACATCTCATGACGACAGTTGCCCACCGCCTAGAGCCCCCCCAATCGACCAATTTGTAAAGGCTAGCGATGATAGCCAGGTTGTTTACTTCAGCCCATATAAACCCGCCTCAACTGCGGATCAGACCTTATTTCAAAGTGCCGAGCTACTGTGAGGGTGGCTAATTACTAACAATATGTGGCGCTGCTCTGCAGGGGGTCCTCCGACAACATTTCTATACGCTCAACAAGAACCGCTAAGTAAAAAGAGAGCAGGCACGCGCGCACACAGCCTAAGTCTGAGCCGAGTGCCACCCACCTGCTTTATACTCCAGAGAGCCGTTTCCATGGCACTGCTCTTTACAACACACACACAAACACACACAAGATCAATGTTCTGCTCTCGTTATCCCCTTTTCTGCATGTGTGTGGGGGAAGCGGCAGCGGGAGCGACGGGGACTAGTTTAGGTGGCAGATCAGCTATTTTATCATAGTTCCTGGCTTATGGCCGTTAGGGGGAGAAGGCGACTGGAAGGTGAATCAACATTTTTAGACAGGCGGGTCAGGCTGCTTCTGTGCACAGAAAAATAATGACAATAAGGAAGATACATGTGTGCATTCAGCTACAGATTGTTGAGCTCAGAGTTTTCCATTTGAGCTCAGTCAGGCTGTAGTTTAGTTTGGACTGTAGGCAATTAGAGTTGCAGAGGGTGTAGCGATATGCACGCAAACCTTCACGCAACGCAAATGCACACAACTCACACAATGACAAGGTCACTGCGCACCCTCTGAGAGAAAGTGACAGCATGACAAACAGGATGAAGGCCAGAGAGGGGGGGGCAGGTTAGGGAGGTGAGAACAGAGACGAGAGGAAAGACGAGAGCCGGCAGGAAAACTCTGAAGTGTCCAGACTGGGCAAAAACAAATGCCCTGGAAAGAGCAGCATAAAGAAAAACAGAATTTGGTTGAACATATAGCATGACTACATAGCATGGATAGAGGTAAAAAAAAAAAGAACATTTCTACAAAGAAGATCAGCTAGTGTATGCTTGTCGGATATAGCGCCCAGGGCTCTACAGGTCCACCTCAAATAGTAAAATTGTTAAAAGGTTAATTCATTCCAGGGACTCAATTTAACATTTACACACGGGGAATTATTTTCAAGCAGGCATTTTATTTTACAGCGAAGGGAAACATTTTCCTGTTTCTTGGAATATAACAATATCACATCAAACCAAATATGTGAGAGTATGATAAACAGGCTGAAGGCCAGAGGGGGGGTACAGATTTAAAAAAATGAAATGCCTGCCCTCTGAAAGGTGCGTCCATGTATTGTACAATAAAGCACTGAATACTTTAGGTCAGGGCCATTTTTGCATGAATTAGTTTATCATTGCTAAGATGCTCTGAAAACCAAGGTTGCTTTAATAGCAGTCTTCAGCCTGTTTGCCTCGTTTGCTCTGGTGTCTCACATCTTCCTCTAATGGTGCTCTATAGATTATCTGTGAAGTTTGGATCAGCCCAGTTTGCTGGTCAATCATCTATAGTGATCCTATGGTCATTAAACAAGGTTTTTGTACTTGCTGCAGTCTATGCAAAAAGAAGAAATTAGCATCTAGATAAAGCTCATCAGCACAGGAAAGCATTGAGTGCTGTAAAATGTCCTGGTAGACATTAGACGTTGTGATACAATGGTCTAAACCCAGCAGATGGCCTAGCTTCTAACATGGTCACTGGATAAAACCTGGATTTCCAAATGACATCAAAGTAACTTAGGTTCTCTCTAGAGCTGTACGATATGCGTCACAAGATATACGTCAGTCGATATTGATAATTATCGATTAGGTTTTTTGCTAACCCATATGAAACAAGGCCTTGAAGGAAAAATTAATTTTAACCAAAGTTATTTAAACATGACTTTTAAAATAAGGTCAGCTCTACCGCCTACCTTGCTTAGGTTCAGCCATGCGAGGTTGGGAGGCTAAATCATTTCATCTGCCTACATCCCCCAGAATTCTATGCGTTTCTGGATCCAAATTTAGGAGAATTAAGGACTTAATTCATATTGATTATCCAATTATATGTCTATTGGTATATATATCAGTTATTACCCATCCTACTTAACTTTCCAATGATATGACTGTACACAGTGAGCTTCTTTAGCAATATGATTTTGTTGTTCAGGAGAAACCATTTTTGGTTTTGATTAAACTTTAGTACAGAAAACATGTTGTATAAACAAGGATTGGTATTTCAGTAACTAAATAAATAAGTCAGGTCTGTTAATGAGCTCATTGCAAACGTCAAATGAAATAAATACTGGATATTTAATCTACAGGGGCTGGTCATAAAATTAGAATATCATGAAAAAGTAGATTGATTTCAGTAATTCCATTTAAAAAGTGAAACTTGTATATTATATTCATACATTACATACAAACTCATATATTTCAGATGTTTATTTTGTTTAATTTTGATGATTACAAATGACAACAAATGAAAATCTCAAATTCATCATATCAGAAAATTAGAATATTGTGAAAAGGTTCAAAATTGATGGCCCCTGGTGCCACACTCTAATCAGCTAATTAACTCAAACCACCTGCAAAAGCCTTTAAATGGTCTTTCAGTCTAGTTCTATAGGCTACACAATCATGGGGAAGACTGCTGACTTGACAGTTGTCCAAAAGACGACCATCGACACCTTGCACAAGGAGGGCAAGACACAAAAGGTCATCGCTAAAGAGGCTGGCTGTTCACAGAGCTCAGTGTCCAAGCACATTAATAGAGAGGCGAAGGGAAGGAAAAGATGTGGTCGAAAAAAGTGTACAAGCAAGAGAGATAACCGCACCCTGGAGAGGATTGTGAAACAAA